GTGAGTAATCGTGTCAATACTCCAACAGTTCTCCCCCCTTATCTAAAAGTTTGTCAACATTCTTTGTCCGCCACAGCGCACAGGTGGCCCGTCTACACCGTTAGTAGACGTTTGTCTTAACCCTAACCCTAACCCTACCCCACTCCCCCCCCCCCCAGCCACACACATGGGCGTCATTTAACGATTTCTTAACCTAACTCTAACCCCACACTCATGGACTTAACACTAACAAACCCCCCCCCCCACACACACACACACATGGACGGTAGTAGACGACTTTTTAACCTTAACTCTACCCCCCCCACACACACACCACCACCACCACCACCCCCACACCACTGACGTAAGTAAACGAGTGTCTTAACCCTAACCACCCTTCCCCACCCAAACTTCAGAGATTTAGCAGACGATTCTCTTAACTAGTCTTAACCCTAAACCCCTCCCCCTCCCACACACACACACAAGCTGGTTTAACCCTGGCCTCACCCTACACCAACACTCTAGAAAGTTAAACAGACGACTATCTTAACCCCCCGCACCCCCCATAACGTTTGAAGCAGAACTCAACCAAGCCGGAAGTAGAATTCGAATCGAAACTGTTTGGCAACGGGCTGAAACTTGTTTCGCTCTGGCCTCTGTCATGACAGGGGGGAGAAGTCGAATGTTCGTAGCTGTCAGTGCTTGCTTCCCTTGTCCCACGTGACCAAACAGAGTCGTGCCCCTTCACGGTGGGGAGTGCACTCGATTTAAAGGGCTTGCTGCAGCCCACTTGAATATAGGGGAGGCTTCACCCCACGCCAATAATGAATTAGCGGTAAAGGAAAAAAAAAATATGCGTAACGCGAACTAACAGTTAATAGCGTCTGTATGTATGCTTTGTATTGATAGTAGAAACGTATCCTTAACCTTAATCCACAATGTTCAATAACCCGTAATCTAAACCTAGTCCCAAACCTAATCTCAAACAGTGTTCCCCCCCCCCCCCAAGAGATACCTGGGAGAAACTCTGATCTCAAACATATACTCTAACCAATTTTTTTTTATCAGGACCTGACTTAAAATCTTATCCTAAACAAAACCAAAATCCTATTCCTGTTTCTACCCCATACCTAATGATAGGCCGTACCAAACCCTAAACCCAACCATGTGGTGTTGTAACGTGGGCTGCTGTCATTGGTGTGCACAGAGTGATACCACCATTAGTAGATACTAGAAAAAATCGATAATGTAAATGATCGTGTGTTAATAAGTGTGACCAGTGGACCATGCATGCCGTCGTTTCGAATTTTTTATAACTTTCTTGCTAATTATTTTTTTCCGTTTTTTTTTCCTTTAAATTAATAACAATAAAATAAATCATCTTATTGATCAGACTAAAAAAAAATTTTTTTTTTAAATTTAAAAAATTAGCGAAAACAAAAGTATTACGAAACAAATAATAGTTTTATAACCTTTTTCCAGTTATTACAAAAAAAACCTACAAATTTTAAAAAAAATTATTTAGAAATTATAAATTTAAAAAAACCCCACTAATTAGTTTGGTTAACACACTAAAAATATGAATTAGTAAACACGAAACAAAGACACTTCTAACCACCATGTTACGTGCAGGTGTTGGCGATAAACTCCCAGCTGATTCAATATTAAAAAAATAATTAATTAATCACCTACGAAACATGAACACGGGCGCTCATCGATTGATTAATGAGTCGCTTTATTCCAGGTAATCCACGCCGTGTGCAGCCAAGCGTGGGGCCATTACCGGATACGATTAATTATGTTGATTAGAAAGCTGATTAAAATGGAAATATTAAGCCCTCGGGTTACATATTGGCTCAGATGACGTGGTGATGAGTGGTCGGGTTTCGAACCGGGGACGGTCAGTCAGCTGTCGCAGGCGCACTCGTTCACGGCTGGGCGGTCACGCTAGGGTTCAATTATTCAAGCGTGTCGCTGGATTTGAGTTATTAGACCAAGTCACTATGCGCATGATTAAGTTGGGTACATTATCTGTGTAGTGCAGTCACGTGATGGCCGTGTTGGCTCACCCTGGGGAATTTCCACAGACCAACTACCATCACAGAAGCCACACACACCATTAAATCCTCCACCCCTACACCATCAAATCACACACCACACACCACGAAATACACCACATACCATAAGTCCTCTGTACAATACTATCAAACCCCAATAAAATCCGCCTCACTGCCAAAGCCTCTAACCCATCCCCATCAACCCCCCCCCCCCCATTCCATTATTATAAAAACCACCGAGCCGTACCATCAAAGATCGCACCCACCTCCACCATCGAATACTGCACACCATATCATCAGTCCCCTCAACCCCACACCCTTCAACCCCTTCACCCCCACCATCGAATACTGTACCCCATACCATATAAACCCTCCACCCAATCTCATCAAAGCCCCCCCCCCCCCCCCACCCACCCACATTGATAAAGACCACCGTACGATCAAAGGCCGCACATACCCCATACCACCAAATCCTTCACCTCACTATCGAATACTGCATCCACATCATCAAATCCCCCACCCCAGCCCACACCATCAAAGCTCCCACACCAATAAATCACCCCCCCCCCCCATCTACCCCCCCCCCCCATCATCAAAACCTCAACCCTCCCCCCCCCCCCCCCTCTCAACCGTTCCATCCTTATGATCAAGCCAGCAGCCATCAAGTATCATTAAATAAGTTATAGAACGAGCAGAGCCACTCACACTACATATTGATCTGCTTAGATTGGGGGACCATTCAGTTCAATCGATTCAGTGCTTCCCATCCCCTCCATTCTATGGACCCCACACTTAGGTAGCTGCATGACTCGTTTGGCAGTCATTACAAGACCACTGTAGTCCATTATGGGATCAATATGTCAGCTATTTGTAAGATCCCTTAGTCAGTTGATAATACACCGATTCCATTATAGGACCCCTTATCAGCCGGTTGGTACGATTCCTGCGTCCGTCAATTCAAGGATCCCTTTGTAGGTCGGTTCTGGGATCCATGTGTCCGTCAATTCAAGGATCCCTTTGTAGGTCGGTTCTGGGATCCATGTGTCCGTCAATTCAAGGATCCCTTTGTTGGTCGGTTCTGGGATTCCTGTGTCCGTCAATTCAAGGATCCCTTTGTAGGTCGGTTCTGGGATCCCTTTGTAGGTCGGTTCTGGGATCCATGTGTCCGTCAATTCAAGGATCCCTTTGTAGGTCGGTTCTGGGATCCATGTGTCCGTCAATTCAAGGATCCCTTTGTAGGTCGGTTCTGGGATCCATGTGTCCGTCAATTCAAGGATCCCTTTGTAGGTCGGTTCTGGGATCCATGTGTCCGTCAATTCAAGGATCCCTTTGTAGGTCGGTTCTGGGATCCATGTGTCCGTTAATTCAAGGATCCCTTTGTAGGTCGCTTCTGGGATCCATGTGTCCGTCAATTCAAGGATCCCTTTGTAGGTCGGTTCTGGGATCCATGTGTCCGTCAATTCAAGGATCCCTTTGTTGGTCGGTTCTGGGATTCCTGTGTCCGTCAATTCAAGGATCCCTTTGTAGGTCGGTTCTGGGATCCCTTTGTAGGTCGGTTCTGGGATCCATGTGTCCGTCAATTCAAGGATCCCTTTGTAGGTCGGTTCTGGGATCCATGTGTCCGTCAATTCAAGGATCCCTTTGTAGGTCGGTTCTGGGATCCATGTGTCCGTCAATTCAAGGATCCCTTTGTAGGTCGGTTCTGGGATCCATGTGTCCGTCAATTCAAGGATCCCTTTGTAGGTCGGTTCTGGGATCCATGTGTCCGTTAATTCAAGGATCCCTTTGTAGGTCGCTTCTGGGATCCATGTGTCCGTCAATTCAAGGATCCCTTTGTAGTTCGGTTTTGGGATCCATGTGTCCGTCAATTCAAGGATCCCTTTGTAGGTCGGTTCTGGGATCCCTGTGTCCGTCAATTCAAGGACCCCTTTGTAGGTCGGTTCCGGGATCCCATTTTGTCAGCCGCTTTTGGGATCCCTTTGTCAATCAGTTGTAGGACCCCCTTCATCCGTAACGTATATGACCCCTGTATGGGTTATTGCCAGTCCGTAAAACAATGCCTCTTCAAAACCTTGTATCAAAAACTAATTAGAGAAAAAAGAAATTAATTATCTTAGCAAGCTCTGGTTAAAAAAGTTTGCACCATTTGCAACCAACCACACCACAATTATTCTGGTTAAAAACGCCCACACCATCTACACCACACCACCATTATCCACACACCAAACACCGCCAAAACGTCTGCAGAAGAAAAAAAAAAACACAAGTACCTGCCAATTCTAACCGTCCCTTCTTCTTTCACTTCAAGTTTTCTTCATGTAAACAGAACGAAACAAAAACCACATGACAGGTAGATAATTACAAGGTACAGCAGGTAAAAATCTGGACATGTCAAATAGGAACGCCATATGGCCTTAATCCTAATCTCCCCCCCCCCTTCTCCCCTTCCCCCCAGACATGAAGGCACGACTTGAACCATATGGTGAGAGTAAAAACGTTGCCCATTTTTATGAGGGTGAGTTGTCCAACTGTTTAAAAAAACGAACATTAGATGTATAGCTTTAGTTTTGATGGCGTTTAGATATCTGACGTAACGGATTAAGTATATTTTATACTGCAACAGACTGTGTTTATTGCTTTTGAAATCTTTTATTTTTCGCAGTTGGACTTTCGCCAGAGCGGCGAGAGTTAACCACACGGGAATTTGTAAAGTTTAGGTTAAGTTTAACGCTTTATGTTTTTTTTAGCGGTGAATCAAAAGTTAGGGCAGGGACGTAGCGAGGGGGGGGGGGGGTGCGGACCGCACCGGGTGACACCATTTAGGGGGGGTGACACAAAGGCAAAAAATAGCAAAATATATAGAGAAAAACTTGAGGGAGGGGTGCAAATCGAAAACTTGAGGGGGGTGCAAATCGAAAGTTTGAGGGGGGGGGGGGGGGGGTGCAAATCGAAAATTTGAAAGTTTTTCCCTCGGAAGGGTCTCTATGCCTCTGGGGGGGGGGGTGACACCATTAAGTGCCGCACCGGGTGACACCCGACCTCGCTACGCCACTGAGTTAGGGCTAGGTTTGTGTTCAATGAGTCGGCAAATGTTAGTACAAAGGTTCACTCCTTGGATTAACTTCTGAGATTAAGGCGAAGTTTAAAGGTAACCTTTACGGCGGTGCTAGAATACAAGGAAGGTGGGTGTGGTCAGAAACCAGATCACCGCAAGATGACGCTAGACTTGTTAGGTGTGGTCTTATAGTCCAATGAACGAGGTATACGATATCGCTCTTTTGCTATAACAGGATACCCCATGACCTTATATTTTAGTGCCGTATAAACATAACTAATTATCTTTTTTTTATACACTGCTATAAGTAGTAGAGTACCATTCAAAGCTGAAGTAGAGTTCACTTGTTTTATCTCGGCATAGTGTATACAGCTAAAATGCTCAGCCGCCTTTACATTCCCTAACGTGAGTAGGGTAGGCCAACACATCAGAACTGGGTGGTCTAAGCGACGTTCTACTGACACGAACGCGGGATTCGAACTTAAGACTTTCGGGTTAGCAGTCGTATATTCTACCATCCTACCACACAGCCCCAATTCACTGGGAACACAGTTTAAAACAATAACTAGCCAACAGACGACGTTCTACACAAGAAGGTAGGTGGAGAAGAGTTCACATATTCATTTTTACGAGTAGTACTTAAAGAATATACGCCTATTACATCGTGTTTGTATCTCTCTCTAACCTTAACTGGAGTCCAGAAAACATCTATATTTAGAGACTTGCTGATGGGCTATATATAGAATCTCAACCCACCCAGAATCTTCTTTTTCAGTTCTTTGAGCAGACACACGCAATGAAGCCTCACTCGTATAACTAACTAACTAATTAATTAATTAATTAATTAACCAGCAATCCTCATTAAAATACCACCAGACTAATGACGTCTCGATAGGTTCCAGAAAGTGAATTCCTTTCACCAATCCTCTTTCAGTGGGAGCGGCCGGGCACGTTCTGTTCCTGGCTCGTTTATCATTACTGTCTGCCTTCACTCACCTGTGATTGGCAGGTGTAATAAATTGGTGCCAGACACCCCTGAAGGAAACCCTCGACAGCTTCTACAAGAAAGGGGCGAGAATTTGTATATTCGATTTTCAAACAACGGGTGTGCGAAAAATATATAGTGCTAAAATTATTTATTTTAAATTAAATAAGTAAAATAATCTTTTAGACCTGACAGCTCATAGGACAGATGAAGTAGAGTTCATCTGTTTCTATAACCCCTGCATAGGAGGGGGACTGAATTGTCAACATTCAACACACTGTTTACTTTCTAAATTACATTTCTATATTTAGAACAATACGTTTCTTCTTTTTTTTTTTTTGGAGCAATTTTATACTCCCTCCCACCCCTCCCTCACTTCCCGTAAACAATTGAGTTGTCCACCTTAGCTACACAGCTGGTCAGACATTTCCCCCTCCCCTCCCCACCCCCACCCCACCAACATACACCCGCTGATTTGACAGTTTAGAGGGACGGCAAGACGGAAACAGCAACAAATTATGGCCAGCGTGTAGCCAGGGTTGTAGCCATGGTGTAGCCAGCGTGTAGCCACAAGTGTAGCCAGGGCCTGCCCGGATTGTTGATACTGGACGGTGAGTACCTACATCAGCCCCCTCTAGGCGTGAGTACACGTGCACGTGCCGACAGCTTAACGGCTTCATCAACATGCCTCGTGTGAGCTGAGACCATTATTTATGTGAGGGGGGGGGGAGCTGGTGTTCCTGACAGGAGTAGGTGGGCAGTTGGATGGGCAGTTGGGTGAGCAGTTGGGTGGGCAGTTGGATGGGCAGTTGGGTGGGCAGTTGGATGGGCAGTTGGGTGAGCAGTTGGGTGGGCAGTTGGGTGAGCAGTTGGGTGGGCAGTTGGGTGAGCAGTTGGATGGGCAGTTGGGTGGGCAGTTGGGTGGGCAGTTGGGTGAGCAGTTGGGTGAGCAGTTGGGTGGGCAGTTGGGTGAACAGTTGGGTGGGCAGTTGGGTGGGCAGTTTGGTGAGCAGTTGGGTGGGCAGTTGGGTTAGCAGTTGGGTGAGCAGTTGGGTGGGCAGTTGGGTGAGCAGTTGGGTGGGCAGTTGGGTGAGCAGTTGGGTGGGCAGTTGGGTGAGCAGTTGGGTGGGCAGTTGGGTGAGTAGTTGGGTGAGCAGTTGAGTGAGCAGTTGGGTGGGCAGTTGGGTGGGCAGTTGGGTGGGCAGTTGGGTGGGCAGTTGGGTGGGCAGTTTTGGAGAGCAGTTGGGTGGGCAGTTGGGTAGGCAGTTGGGTAGGCAGTTGGGTGGGCAGTTGGGTGGGCAGTTGGGTGAGCATTTGGGTGAGCAGTTGGGTGGGCAGTTGGGTGGGTAGTTGGGTGGGCAGTTGGGTGGGCAGTTGGGTGAGCAGTTGGGTGGGCAGTTGGGTGGGCAGTTGGGTGAGCAGTTGGGTGGGCAGTTGGGTGGGCAGTTGGGTGGGCAGTTGGGTGGGCAGTTTTGGAGAGCAGTTGGGTGGGCAGTTGGGTGGGCAGTTGGGTGAGCAGTTGGGTGGGCAGTTGGGTGGGCAGTTGGGTGAGCAGTTGGGTGGGCAGTTGGGTGGGCAGTGTTGAACGATGGGAAGATCAGTAAGCGATCAATGGCCTTCTCCCAAACAGGCAAAATGAGGGTCAAATTTCCAATCAGGTAAAATTATAAAAAAAAAAAACGAAAAAAACAAACAAACAAACAAAATCAAGCCAAATATCAGGACATCGACAAGATAAGAAGACATCAACCAATTATCAACCAAATACGAGAAAAAAAGAAAAGACAGCTTACACGAGGGGACCAATGGTCGTTGATTTTTTAAATAGCTTAAATTACGATTCAAAATACTTACATAAACTGTGCTAATTGACTGATTCAAATAATCAACTGACACAACTAAAACAACTAACCCAGATAATCAACTCACGCTTCTAAAACTACTGACTTCAATCATCTACCGACGCTTCTAAAACTACTGACTCCAAAGATAAACTGATACATCTAAAACTACTGACTCCAATCATCTACTGATACATCTAAAACTACTGACTCCAATCATCTACTGATACATCTAAAACTACTGACTCCAATCATCTACTGATACATCTAAAACTACTGACTCCAATCATCTACTGACGCTTCTAAAACTACTGAATCCAATCATCTACTGACGCTTCTAAAACTACTGACTTCAATCATCTACCGACGCTTCTAAAACTACTGACTCCAAAGATCAACTGATACATCTAAAACTACTGACTCCAATCATCTACTGATACATCTAAAACTACTGACTCCAATCATCTACTGATACATCTAAAACTACTGACTCCAATCATCTACTGATACATCTAAAACTACTGACTCCAATCATCTACTGATACATCTAAAACTACTGACTCCAATCATCTACTGATACATCTAAAACTACTGACTCCAATCATCTACTGATACATCTAAAACTACTGACTCCAATCATCTACTGATACATCTAAAACTACTGACTCCAATCATCTACTGATACATCTAAAACTACTGACTCCAATCATCTACTGACGCTTCTAAAACTACTGAATCCAATCATCTACTGACGCTTCTAAAACTACTGACTTCAATCATCTACCGACGCTTCTAAAACTACTGACTCCAAAGATCAACTGATACATCTAAAACTACTGACTCCAATCATCTACTGATACATCTAAAACTACTGACTCCAATCATCTACTGATACATCTAAAACTACTGACTCCAATCATCTACTGATACATCTAAAACTACTGACTCCAATCATCTACTGATACATCTAAAACTACTGACTCCAATCATCTACTGATACATCTAAAACTACTGACTCCAATCATCTACTGATACATCTAAAACTACTGACTCCAATCATCTACTGATACATCTAAAACTACTGACTCCAATCATCTACTGATACATCTAAAACTAATGACTCCAATCATCAACTGACACATCTAAAACTACTGACTCCAATCATCTACTGATACATCTAAAACTACTGACTCCAATCATCAACTGACACATCTAAAACTACTGACTCCAATCATCTACTGATACATCTAAAACTACTGACTCCAATCATCTACTGATACATCTAAAACTACTGACTCCAATCATCAACTGACACATCTAAAACTACTGACTCCAATCATCTACTGATACATCTAAAACTAATGACTCCAATCATCAACTGACACATCTAAAACTACTGACTCCAATCATCTACTGATACATCTAAAACTACTGACTCCAATCATCAACTGACACATCTAAAACTACTGACTCCAATCATCAACTGACACATCTAAAACTACTGACTCCAATCATCTACTGATACAT